AAGCCTATTACACTCGCCACGTCAGCATTCAGGAAGTAATCAATGAAGGGGTGCCACGTCAGCCAATCTGGCCCCCTGATACAGCTTCAATCATGCCGCGTGAACAGGGAACAATAACACGTCGATATTCCCCTGCCACGTCAACATCAAATAACTAAACAATAAGGGTGGATGCCACGTCAGCCAATCTGGTCTCCAGTTAGTACTCCAACCAAGCCGATTCAACAGGGAAATGACAACACATCAATATTCCCCCTGCCACGTCAGCAATCTTGGTGCCTGCTCAAGATCTCGCCGATGCGATACTGCAATATCAGCAAGATCTTCTTCTTCAATCAAAGCTCGTCATCATCTTCGGCCCCGATGCGTGCAGCTTCTACTAGGGATGAATGCTTCGTGTCTAGACAATCGCGTTGATAAGAATCGCGTTTCAGCATTCTCTCTCTCCCACTATTTTTCCCGCCACGTCATCAGCGCGCGTCCGGGTCTTGATCGAGCACGCGCGTCAATCAACTCAAGCGCGGCCCGATGGAACTTCGTCGTCATATGCTCTTCGTCGTCGTAATGATCTTCCTCAAGGTCATGATCACCTTCGTGATCTTGATCGTCGTCGTGATGTAAGTTCAGCGCGCGCACGTGTGCGCGATACTCCTCCTTACACGTGTACGGAAGAACTGCTCTGATACCAAACTGTAATGAACCCAGGCGAGATAACACACATTGGACATGCAGATACTGTTCACAGCAACGCACGAGCATCAGCGCTCGTGCAGCACAAGTCCCGTGACTCAATGACAAAGCAACTCGTGTAGTCCAATCTTGTTGATGAATAATGTCGAACAGATCTGTTCCCGTAACCGAGTGTATACATACATAGACAAGAGAGAGAGAGGGGAAAGAAGAGACTTAGAAGAAGAAGAAGAAGAAGATGCCCACTTCTTCTTCAGGCCAAACAGATTCGCCCCCTCTCCAGCAGCGTCATTCCAGATACAGATCTGAGTTCCTCAAAGTGCCACGTGGCACATCAGCATTCTCTTCATCAACGGAGCAGCAATGTCGCCTCAATAAACAGGTACGTGTCATCTCATTCCCACAGTCCATGATCTCCTTCCGGACGACGAAAGTCTGAACAGCGAATGAACACGTGGCACAGCCACGTCACCATCAAACTAYGTGGCAGCAGCCACATCAGCAACRACACGTGGCRCTGCCACGTCAGCACCTTGTAGACAGGAGCAAGCCAGCSACCATGCCAGCAAGCAAGTAGCGYGTCGACGCTGAAGAACGCCARCGCTCASCCARCAAGTAGCCGGCACCTCACAAGCCAGCGTCGCGTCAAAGTAGAGTCAGCTTTGACTCGCGACCGAATGAATCTTGTCAAAGCCAGGAGTCAACCTTAAGTAGTGTTGACTCGGGGGTCAATGCCCYGGTGCAGCGGTCCTGTGCCGTTCAGATCTTGATGCTGMGACGGCCTGGATCGGTCTGCAACCGATTCTCCCTTGGTCTGATGTCTTGGCCTGGTACCTGCATACAAACACAGGTGTGTATCTGTTCGTGGACTTGGGTACGGTACCTGCGACCCGACAGTTGTCTTTGACCTTTGAATTTCCCCCAGTCCAGCGCTGGGTCTAACTGGCCAGACGCTGGGCTGAGCCGGGCAGTGCGTGGTCACACAGCCCAGCCTCTGCTGAGTGCGGGATACTGCATATATATATATCGTCACAAACAGAACTGCCCGGTATATTTTTTACGAAAAAAAAATATGTTCGCCCGAACATATTCGCGAGCTGTTCGCGCGAACGCACGAACACGTTCGCGCGAACATGAAGGGGCGCGAACACGTTCGTCGTGCTACGCATCCCTTTCATACATGGAGTTAGCCACTTTCTCTAAAGGTAAGAGCTTACACATGAATTCTACTGGTCTATAGCCCTTTCCATCATCTTGTTGTAGCACATCCCCAATCCCATAATGACTTGCGTCGGTCGTGACAATGAAAGGTACTGAAGGATCAACAATTTTCAAGACGGGGTAGTGAGTTAGCACATACTTAAGTTTCTTCAATGAAGACTCACAATCTTTGTCCCACAACCAAGGTTATTCTTTCTTAAGCAACCTCCTCATAGGCGCAACAGTGATAAAGAAGTTCCTTACGAATTTGCTATAGTAGCTCGCGAGTCCTAGGAAGGATTGTGGTTCGATGATAGTCGTGGGTCTGGGCCAATCTACGATTGTTGTTATTGTCTTTTCTTCAGGCCTTAGTCCTTCGTCATTTACTATATGCCCAAGATATAACACTTCATACTTCGCAAATTCTGATTTCTTAGGATTCAGTTTGTAGTTACCTTTTCTTAATTCTTGTAGAACCATTCGTAGGTGTTTTTCATGATCCTCCAATGCCTTACTGTAGACGAGGATGTCATCGAGATACACTGCCACGAATTGGTCCAACCACTGCCTAAATAGCTCATTCGTCGATTGTTGGAAGGTTGTCGGCACGTTAGTTAGGCCAAAGGGCATAACGACAAACTCATAGTGCCCATACCTGGTTCGGAATGCCGTCTTGTATTGATCTTCGGAGCCACCTCAATTTGGTGGTAGCCAGACTTCATATGAATTTTGTTGAAGTACCTGCAACCTTGCAACTGATTAAGAAGGTCATCAATTCGAAGAAGGGGTTCAACATTCTTTATAGTGACTTCACCTTCCTTTCTGGGCATGAATTGTACAGGCACGTCGTAGGGAGAGGAACTTACCCTAATCCATCCTTTTTCTGTAAGTTCCTGCAATTGTTTCTTTCACTCCTATAATTCCCACGGGGACATATGGTAGATTTGTCCTTTGGGAATCTTACTCCCGATAAATAATTTCAATAGGTTGCTTTATAGCATGTTCAGTTACTCCGGTCGGTCCGGTTTGCAAGTCCTTGTATTCGTCGAGAAGTTTTTCAATAGGAGGAGGATAGGACACAAAGCACTCGGCTGCATTTTTATTACTTTTTAACGAGTACCATCATTACATTCTGCACCAACTTCTTTTTCGTGAGTCAAAACCAGACTTGTCAAACAATTTAATTGATTATATTTTTTATTTTTTATTTCTTAATTTAACAATTTTATCTTTGAACTTGACTTCTGGGTTGGCTTCCTCGTGTCAATCCATGCCCAGAATCAAGTCAAATGGTCAATTCTTTTCTACTAAGAAGGTTACCTCATGTAAGATTTTCTTACCTTCCCTCGTATGAAAGTAACACTTCACGCGGTCAACATATTGAGTGGCAGTGATATTACTTTGGTCAGCCAACATAGACGTGATGGTCTGAGCAAATCCTGCACCCTCATCCCTAAGTGCAACTTCCAAATTGCCTTCTCAGAGATGTAAGAGAGGCAAGGTCAGGCGTTGGTCGGCATGGTCAATAAATTATATAACATTATCGAATTTTTGACAAGGTTATCAGATATGGTTGACCATGCCCACCCTCACTGGACCTTGGCTCACCCTGCTCGACCCTCACCTGACCGTCCCTGGCCCCTCCTCATCCACCTCCTTCTGGTAATCTGCCCCTCCTTTGTCGCCTCCTTCTTCACACTGACTTCTCATTCTTCTTTATTGCTTCTACTTCTTTCCTCTTTATCTATCTCTTCTTCTCCTCCCACCCCTCCTCCACACACCGCCTTTGCCCTCTCCTCTATCCTTCCATCCTCCTCCATCGCGGCCCCTCCTCCTTTCTCCGGGTGCAATTTCCTCCCTGTGACTGAGTTCGTTTGTACGTTTTGCACGTGTGGGAATCAATCTGTTTTTTTTTTTTTTTTTTTTTTTTT